ATATCGCATTGAAAGAACTATTCTCATCATGTGAAGATCAACAACAAATGACATTAAGTCGATTACCACGCACGAATCTTCAAGCAATTCAATCATAAATAGTCATTCTTTTGCTAATCTTTTTTTTTTTCAAGACACATTTTCTCTTCTGCTCGGCCTAGTCATGTACTATGTTGTATATTCAGATCGTTTTTGAATCTTTTCGCTCTTTATTCATACATATTTACCAATGGAAGGACGCTTTTTTTCTCGAGAATATAACTAATGGGTACCATGTAAATGACGATCAGGTTATGCACTTCAGATACTGTTATGTCTATCGCTTCGTCGAGATCGCGTCGGTCGTCGGCTTCTACTATCAATTCGAAAACATCGAAAGCACCTCCTTCTGCCACTCCTCTGCAGGTGATGATAGTGTGCGTAGTCGATTTTCTATTTGACTTTACGTTGTTCAGAGTCTTCAAATCGAAAACGAATCACTTCGTCTAGAAATTCTTTCCTTGCAAAAGATTCTCGAAACGCCATTGGATGAGAATCGACGTTACACACATTTCCGATATCAGATTTATTCACTGGAAAAGCAAGTCGCGCTATTGACGCGATTGCTCGATGCCAAACGAGAAGCAGTGGCAACATGTGAAACCATTCTCATCGAGCTCAATCAATTTCTCGAGTGAGAATGATGAAAACCTGCTAATCATCTACTTTGTTCACATAGAAATCTAATGGATAAAATTCATCGAAAAGAAAATCTCGAGGAATCACTGGTACAATCATGGATTGATCGAATTGAAAGTAATCGAAAGAAATCGTTCAAATCCATGCAGGTAAAATCTCTTCAATCTGACTTCTTCTACATGATTTTCGTAGGATCATGCAAGCCTGTCGGATAATGATACGCTATTCGCTCCGAATAGTTTGAAATATGTCAATCAAGTACCCATTCATCTACTAGATATCTGTTCGGGGAAGATCGAGCATCTGAATTTGAAAAATATTGTAAAATTACACTTTCAGATTCACGCATATGAACGCTTCGTTCTTGTAGGCAAATCTAGAAAGTTCATTGTACAATCTTCATGCTGATCTTCGCACATTCCAAAATGAATTACTCGACCGAACGAATCATTCCCTTTTCCCCAATCTCAACAACGATCTAATTCAACATTGCAAAGAACTCTCAAAAAAAATCAATGGTACAACCAACGAACTTTTCTACTTGTCCATTCTTGTGCCAACTCGAGTGATTATTCAGCCAAAGTTTCCAGATAGTCGTAACTGTTTTTGTATTATTTCAGCATCAAAAATGTGCATTTGACTCAGAACAAATTACTACAGAACTTCTCTGCCAACGAATCAATTCTCAATTTCGCTTATCGCCCAATATAAAACTTTACCTACAATCAATCTTCAATTCGCTCATCTCTGCATTTAATCATGAGATTCATCTGTTGAAAACGGAACTGAAGATCAAAACTCACCAATTATCGTTCTACCGGCATTCTTTGACGAAAATTCATTGTCAGTATATTCAAAATCTCATTCAGATCTTATCGACCGGTCAACAATCGTTTAATAAACAATTACAAACAGTTCTCTACGAACCATTAGTAAACATCATGAAAGAATTCAACAAAATGAATGATGAAAAAAGCGATGAGTCCTTGAAATCCTTTTTATTTACATTCAAAATTCACGTTGACCAATTCAATGAAATTCTCCACGATCTTTACCAACAGATCACCGATGGATCGAAAGCAACTGAACAGCTGTTCATCGAAACTAATAAGCAAATGTGGCGAGACATCGAGCAACAGCAGAAACAATTAATTGACGAAATCAGCTCGATCAAACACGAGAACGGTTCTCTGAATGATGTGATGAATCTACTGCGTATGTCTGATTTTCAGAATAATGTTTGATTCATAATCAATTTTTCTGCGAAACGTAACTGTTCTTCTTGTTGACGACCTTTTTTATCGCATAATAAAGTTACACAGTGGAGCGAAGGAGAATGTTTTGAAACTTTTTCCAACTTACACAGGAAAAGAAAAATATCAACACGATTAGACGCGCGCATGCTGCATGTGCTTCTAAGACAAATAAAGCGCAGCGTCGGCGAATCGCTTGTAACAAAACGTAGCGATCACACGGTTGTAAATGTATGCAAGATGAAAAGCTTTACTAGAATTGCGCTTGACTTTTGAAATAGAAATCAGAGAGCCTATGTAACTCGTTTTTTTTTAGATAATTACCCACCATGTTCGGCAAAAAACCAACGAGACACGATGATGACGATCAACATGATGTCGAGGCTCGTCAAGAATTTCTTCTAATTTGGCTAGATAGCAATTTTGATCCGAGAAGCTTGGATCATATAACCTCCATCTCTCTGTTTCAACGATTTATTCCTGCTATTAAACCATGCACTGACAAAAGGCATTGTATGAGATACATCCAAACCGCGCAAGAGCGTAAAATATTCTTGATTAGCTCCGGTTCTTTTGGTGAAGAAGTTGTACCAAATGTTCATGATATGCCTCAAATCAATAGTATATTTATCTTCTGTGGCCATAAAGCAAGACACGAACAATGGGCTCTTAAGTGGCCTAAAGTTCGAGGTGTGTTCACGGAGCCGCTATCAATTTGTAAAGCTTTGCAAATGGCAATCGACGAATCCGAAGCCGCGGATATTTCGCTACGTATAATGTCGTCTAGTAAGAATCCTACGGATAAAAGTAAAGATAATCTGGATCCGATATTCATGTACACTAAAATTGCCAAAGAAATTCTGTTAACAATTCAATTCGATGACGAACAGATCAAACAATTTGCTGATCACTGTCGTAAACAATTTGCCGGTGATACTCACGAATTAGAGAATATCGAATGGCTTGAAAAAGAATACCGTGACCAAACACCAATCTGGTGGTATACATGTGATTGTTTCTTATACCGTATTGTCAATCGCGCCCTGCGAGAAATGGATATGATGACTATTGTAGAAACGGGCTTTTTTATTGCTGACCTTCATCGAGAAATTGAACGACTACACAGCGAACAATATGGTAAACATGGTTTTAACAAAATTTTCAAAGTATTTCGTGGACAGAGCATGCCTAAAGAAGAGCTGGCAAAGTTAGCGAATAAAATTGGCGGTCTGACTTCATTCAACAAGTTTTTATCAACTGGCAGAGATCGGCAAGCTGCTCTCCGGTTCGCTCATCATGGGTTTGGAAAGCATGGTTTCGTTGGAGTTCTATTCACGATTATAGTTGACCCATCTCAACCGAATCAAGTGCCGTTTGCTTCCCTGGCCAACAATAGTTATTACACAGAATCAGATGAGATTTTATTTTCAACGCACACAGTCTTTCGCATCCTTGATATCAAACCAGTTGATCGAGGTCAGCGCGTGTTCGAAGTGACTATGACACTTACTAACGATACCGATGAATCGCTTGAACAGCTTGCAGTCTGTATACACGAAGAGATCAATTCAATTCCAAATACGTGGTGCAAGTTAGTTCATTTATTGAGTAAAATAGGCCAATTCGAACAAGCCGAACAGTTGAGCTGTAGACTTCTTCAAACACTGAAAGATGATTCTGAGAAAGTATATATTTACAAACAACTAGGATCGATTAAAGCTGATCAGCACGATTACGACAAAGCATTAGAATACTATAATCGCGTTGTTGAAATTCAACAGAGTATCCTCCCTTCAGATGATCTGCAGTTAGCATTTTCCTATGACAGCATCGGCAGGATATATCAAAACATGGAAGATCATTCGCAAGCACTTTCAATATTGGAAAAAGCACTTAAAATCAAACGAAAAATACTTCCAGACGCTCATCTTGATTTGGCTTCTTCATATGAGAATATCGGTGAATTACATTCCAAGATGAACAATTATACAGAAGCATTATCATATTACGAAAAAGCTTTAAAGATTCGAACTAAATCTCTTCCTCCAGATCATCCTGATTTAGCAATACTGTACGCGCGTAACGGTATGGTATTCAATCATATGGGAAAATATGAAGAAGCACTACCCAACTTTCAGAAAGCGCTTAACATCCAGCAAAAGCTATTGCCTCCTAATCATCCTGATATAGCAGCATCATACATTCATATAGGCATGACGCTCAACCATATGAGAAATTACCAAGACGCTTTGGATAACTATCAGCAAGCATTGAAAATTCAACAAACAGCTTTGCCTCCAAATCATCCTTTATTAGCTGTGTCGTATGACAATATCGGTTCCATACTTCTGAGTATGGGCCGATGGCAAGAAGCATTATGTTCTTACGAAGAAGCATTGCGTATTAAACAGAACTGCCTTCCTCCTGGCCAACTACTTCCAGCTGCCGAATATTTCAACATTGGCAGGGCATTTAGACATGCAAAAGAATATGAGAAAGCGCTTTCATTTTTTGAAAAAGCGTTGGAAATTCAACAAAAAACACCGACTTCAAACGATCCCACAATTGAGGATTGTAATAAGCAAATAGAGAAGATGAAAGCGAAACTATCAAGCGTATATTGATAACTTGATTTTATCGAAAATTTCAACATTTGACTCTGATTAGTATCTGTAGGTAGTGTCTTTGTTTTTGTTTAAATAAAGTCAATCCGAGCAATGAAACAACAATGTTGTCGAGACAGATCGTAACGATTGGTAACTTGTTTCATTTGACGAGCAAAGACACAATGATGACATGACATATCATCGCCGTTGCACATATATACCACGACCTTCTTTTTCTTTGCATAAAGAAAGATCATTCCATCTATCAATCAGCGTTCGCCTTTCTGGTAGATGTCGCTCGACATTCTCACCACATTTGTCATTAGGATTGGTTGACCATTTGACGAGAACGAGGAGCCTTGAATACAATTCAAAGAAATCTGTTGTTTATTGTATTTAATCATCTGTTCGATTGCATTTTCGAGAAAACATTCACGGAGACTTCACATATCTTCACAATTAGATGCCAAAACGCGTTCACAGCGCCAGTGATCGCGATGAGAGTGAGTCAACTGGTCCATCGAAACGAACTCGCAAAGTAGCTGATTTAGTACGTGATTCTCCGTGTCTTTTTCATGTTCGAATTTTATCCTTTCACCTGTAGGCTGATATTTGCCAAGAATTCTACAATGATGTACGAGCTCATAAAACTGACGATGGAAGAAATCCATCGGAGAGCTTTGTTCGACTTCCAAACAAGAGGTTTGTTGAAAAAGTTCATCTCGAGGAGCGTTTTTCAAATTGTAAATTTAGAGCAAGCGCAGACTATTACAATTCAATAAGTGATCCAATTGACTTCACACAAATTCAACAGAAAATTCATTCCGAAGAATATACTACCTTGGAACAACTATACGATGATATTGAATTACTCATCAACAACGCAAAGAGTTTCTATCGAGTAATAAATCACTTACTTGTTGACTTCCAGAAGTGATTCTTTTCTTTCGTCTAGAAAAATTCCAGTGAATGGAAAGATGCGAATGAACTATCGAAATACTTTTATTCGAAAACTAAATCCGAAACCATCGATTCTTACTATTTCGAAGAATTTTTCACAGCGATATACAACGCTCAAATCGATGATCGACCCATCACTGACATATTTCTCTTCCTGCCTTCACGAAAAGTAAATTCCACTCTTCCAGATCCTCAAAAACCTTTTCTTCTCGATTTAGATCTATCCTGATTACTATTTAATAGTAACCAAGCCAATTGATCTAAAAATGATCGCAATGAAAATACAAAACAATGAGTACTGTACACTTGATGATATGGAGAATGATTTGTTACTAATGATTGCAAATGCACGGAAGTACAATGACCCTAAATCACAAATCTACAAAGTAAATATACCATACAACAAAGCTGCTGATTCGAGTTGATCTTTGTAGGATGCTTGCGCTTTGAAAAAGATCATAACTAATGTTCGAAATGAACTCGATTCTGCTCTCAAATCTTCCAATGATCGTTTGAGGTAAATCGAAAACAAAGAATTTCAATTTCATAGCTTCGATGTTTCTAAACTAGACTTCGTAAACGTGACGTTCTTCTATCATCGGAAGTAGCAAATACGGAATATCCTGAAGAGCCTGACGATGAAGAAATTCTTCCATCACAAACCGATGATGCTGACTCCGAAACGAGCTCACTTGGCGATGAAGATGATTTGTATAGAATTTTGTACAATGCTGTTCGATATTATAAACTTGGTGCTCAGAGCTTAATCGATCCATTTATGAAATTACCGAATAGGAGATTTCATCAAGATTATTACGAAGAAATCCAACGACCGATAGCAATGTCTGTTATTAAAAATCATATCAAAGTATGAATTTCAGCGAGAAAAAAGATTCCTAATCGAGATCGTATTTCATTTGTCAATTTAGAAAGGAAAATACACGTATTTAGATGATCTTGTCGATGATCTGAAACTGATGTTTGATAATGCGATGCAGTATAATCAAGAAGGATCGTTAATTTATAACGTAAGCCGAGTTATATTAGATTCGAAAATGTGTTGAAATATTTTGTTTCAGAGCGCAAAGAAATTACTTGATGTTACTTTACTCAAAGCTCATGAGCTTGGTTATGACGAACAGAAACCAAGGATAAAGGAAGCTTGTACGAATTTTCCAACGGTAAACATCAGTTTTATCCTATATTCACACATATTTGTATCTTTAGATCAACGTCAAAGATGAATATCGGGATTCACCAAGTCCACAATCACCGAACGTAAATTGATGCAAGAAAAGTTTTGACAGTGATTGTGATTGTTTTTCTGTTTTAGTCACAACGAGGACGACCACCGAAGAAACCTGTTATCAAAACGACAGAACAGAACATTCTCGCGATTTACACTTACATTCGAGAATATCGAGTACAAATCTTGTTGTTCTTTTCTACTCATTAAATTTTCATGTTTGCATTAGGAAAATGACGTTGGACTCATTGCTCCATTCTTGGAACTTCCATCTGCGGAAGAATATCCTGACTATTATGAAACAATAGAACAGCCGATTGATATGGCTATGATCAAAGAAAAGATTGATAAGGGAACCGTGAGTTTAGCCTCGAACCTCAATTTAATCGATAAAAATCCGCTCTTTTCAGTACAAACGTGAACAGGATATCATCGATGATCTTAATCGAATGTTTAACAACGCTAAAGTCTATAATGTCGATGAATCCTATATATTCAAATACGCTGCTCGTCTCGAGCAAGCCTTAGCAACAAAATTCAAATCAATGGTTGTCAAAAAGGAAAAACCATCGCAACCACTTCCACGAATAATCAATAAACGGTATGCCAAACACCATTCCATCCGTCATCTCGTCACTTCTTCTCGTTTGATTTAGATCATTGAATTCCTTACAAGATAAAATCTCCTATCTAATTCAAATGATTAAAGCGTATACAGATCGTCATGGACGAACGCTATCAACAGTATTTTTGACGTTACCATCGAAAATCGACTATCCGGATTACTATGAAATTATTCACAAACCGATCGATTTGAAACGTATTGAATCACGACATTATTCCTCGATTAATGAGTTGTCCAATGACTTGAAGTTAATGTTTGATAATGCATTATTGTACAATGAACCGGGTTCCGTGATCTATCGCGTAACTTTCGAATGACGTCATTTGAAAACACTTTCCAACGCTTTCCATTTAGGATGCGTTGACTTTGCAACGATTGTTTCTGGAGAAGAAATGTGATTTTGTACAGAATGAGAGCGTACAAACTCTCGTGTCTGAGCTGCTGATTTGCTTATTCATTCGATTATTCAATTACGAGGTCAAAAAGATTTTCCTACTGTTTCATTTGTAATGTTCTTTATATGTAGGATCAAGATGGGCAATATATTAGCGACTCATTTTCAGACTTACAAGAACAAGCAGAAAACGAACCGTAAAGCAAATATTGAAATTGAAACCGAAGTATTTGGAATTTTTTTTTCAGATTTGATATTGTCTACACATTCGATCTCATTCGACAAAATCTTGATAAAGTAATCAATCTCACGAACGAAATGTCATCTTTTACTCTTTATTTAGTATCGATATCGTCGTTTGGACACCTTTCAAGACGATCTGTTCAAAGTATTTGAGCGTGTGCGCAAATTAAGTTCTGCTACATCACCAGTAAATCCTCTTCGACCGAATTCGATTGACTATCTTCCATTCTATTGTAGGTTTATCAAGATTCGATTAAGCTACAACGTATTTACATTCGTTTACGTGATGATATCTGTCAACACGGCAGTTTACTTCGATCACCGGCACTTCTATTCAATGAAGAACGATTTCAAGAAGAACTTGTTCGCGAACGAACGGACAAAAGTTCAACGATGAATACGAATAATCAGGACAGTAGCGTCTCGCCAGCGAAATCACCTGATTCTGATGAGCAGAAAACTTCGGTAAGTTCGAGCATTGAACGACTCAATAAACTAAACATTCTCTCCTATTAGCCAAGCAAATTATCATCGCCGATCGAGAAAAGTTCCTTGTCCAAAGGCCAAACTTATTATCTCGGTGATTTTGTTTACATCGAACCATTCGACGAGTCCAATGAATCTGTGATCGTTTGCATCGAATCATTCGAACGTAAGAATAACGAGGAATTCTTCAACGGCATACAATTCGTTCGTCCTAATGAAACCTATCACACTCCAACACAAAAATTTCTTCGCCAAGAAGTGTTTCTCACTCAGCCGATCGAACATATTTCTATGAATAAGATTCAAAGCTTGTGCTACGTTCTTCATGTCAAAGATTATTTCAAATACCAACCAGTCATTGATGAAAGCAATACGCCATTCGCTGATCAAGATGTATATGTTTGCGAATCACGATACAATGTGAAGACGAAAATGTTCAAGAAAATCAAGTGGTGGAACGTACCGGACAATAAACGTGTGAAGTTGATCCAACGAGAAGTTCCGTTGGAGAATATACGTATGCCATCGACATTGGTGCATCATCGATCGTCGACAGCGGATACTGACGTGGCAAATGTAGACATTATTGATAAAGCAAAAGAAACGGTGTTGTATGATGCAGTTATCAATGATAAATTAAATGAAAATTCATCGATTCGACGAGATTTCTACGAACAAATTGTCTTCTCCTCAAACCGATTTTACAAAGTTGGCGATTTCGTCTACGTTATGAATGTCGAGAATAATATCAATAATGCCTTACAAAAACAATTTATCATTCGAGTGGATAAGATTTGGAAAGACAATGAGTAAGTTTGGTGAAGTGTACAGTTCTGATATTGAACGTTTTTCTTTTCTTTCAAGTTCGTATCACGTCAGTGGGCCAGTTTTCATCCAGCCATCAGATATCAATAATCGAGAACAATTAATCATCACTTCCAAATGTTTCTATGAACGAGAAGTGATTAAACGCGATGGTCCGAGTACGCAGGTCTCATTAAACAATATGCGAGGCAAATGTTCGGTGCTTTCCGTGAAACATTTCTGCACTCGTAAGTCCTATGGATTTAATTTCGTCGAAAAGAAAGATTGTTGAACGTTTTAGATCGTCTAACGGAAATTTCCGAATCGGATGTATTCGTTTGTGAATCGAAATATGTTAGTGAAGATCATAGTCTTCGTGGATTATCAAAACCATTGAAAGTAAGAAAACTAATTCAATCAGATCATATTCATTAGGGACATTTTCTTTCTATGTGAATAGAGAATATCGTTATCTTCGAAAGCAACAGCTGATGAAATTTGGACTTTCCGAAAGGAACTTTTACTGAAACAGGTAAGAACTCTCTTCATCGGATTGAAATTGACAAAACAAAAGAATGTTATCTGAAGGATGCACCTGGTGGCTTAATGAAACTCGTTGACGAAGGTTCATCAATGGATATTGATGATCAATCGAGCTCTACTCTCAATGGTGATGATCATCATTCCAATTATGAGACAAGCAATAGTGGCTCAAATCTGAATTCGTCATTTTCAAATCGTTATAGTAACAATCGAGTAAGAATTCGAAGAAACATTACAAGTTGATATTGAAAGAAATTCTTTACTTATTCAATAGAAGAGTAATCGACGTGTGTCAATAACTCGACCAATCTCTGGTTATCTCGTCTTTGCAAGCGAATCACGAAAACGCTTAGTACGTGACAATCCAGGCATTCCATTTGGCGATTTGAGTCGGATTATTGGTGATCAGGTAAATTGCTTCACGCATACTATTGTTTATTTGTTTCGTCGGCGTGTAGTGGAGGCGTTTGCCTGCGTTGGAACGCGACAAATACGAAGAAAAAGCTCGCGAACGAGCGAAAGAACAAGAAGCTCACGCTGTTAATGGTCCGATTGTTAACGAACCTCCACCGCGTGTAGTCAACGGTCCAATAACCATCAATGGGTATTATCCTAGTATGTATTTTTTTTTTAAAGGAAATTTTCATCTGTCAATGATAAATTTAGATGTTCAACAACCAATCAACGGTATTCTTCCTGTTCTATTAAAAGCACCTACAGCAGCTCCTGTCATGAATGCTCCTCCACGAGTGCAACGCGTGGCACATTCAGAAACGTATTCAAGGTATATCGATCATTTGAAAACTGATCATCCATTTATATCCGATTGGCCAAAACAAATCAAAGCATCGATTGGTAATAATGGCCATACATCGTCACGACCGTTACCGTCGCATTGGTTTATAAATAATAGCCCCGGTTTTTACAATAACACGTACGAAGCACTATGGTCAATGCGTGATAATATGTGGTCGGATGTAGTTCGTGTACGGAATGTATCTTCGGATGAATGGTAGACAGACATAAATGCATATTTTCTTTTTCTTATCTGAACACACTCATTCTACGAGTGATGTGAATATATAGTCCTAATTGTTCCTTACAGTAAATATATATATATATATATATATCTATCTCTACATGGACTATTGTAGGATGTAGTTTTTTTTTGTTTCGTTCTCTTCATGTTTATTTCGGCTTCTTGTCTGTATGTATTGTTAATTTCTCCTGAATCTATATGTAATGATGAAAAACTTCTACCTACACACGCATCAGCAATATTCTTTGTTCTCTATCCGTAATACATGACGGGATATATTGTATGTCTTTGTGAATGCCTTTTTAAAAGAAATGTACAGACACTATTATGTTATTGAAAGAATATAACACATGATTGAAATGAAGATTTGATTGCGTGAATATCGATTAGGCTGATCTGGTCGACGTTTATTTGTGAATTTTTCATCAAAGGCATGCTGTCTTATTTATCTTTTCATTGAACATCGAAAGGAACAAAAACAATAAACAAACAAACAAACAAAAAAGTAATGCGCTATATATGGTTGAACGAGAAGATGAAGAAGAAGAAGAAGAGAAATGAGAGAAAATAGGAATAAATTTATTTCTGACGAAACAACAAGATATCGATCGTAGGTTGATATTTTCCTCATCATAAAATCGTTGAATTGATAATAAAACGAAACTGACTTGTTTAGTTTTATGAAGGTGGTGGACCTGGTGGTAAGGGTGGTGCTGGTTGTTTCGATGGCTGACCATACATCTGATAAGCTGCTGGATAAGCAGGAGGTGGTGGGTAGGACATTTGGTTGTAAATTCCACCGTAAGCGTTAGCAGAAGATGATGATGAAGAGGACGATGATGGTGGTGGCGCATTGACTGCATTCGATTGAGATCTTTGATGTGACGGCATGCCATTTCCGTTCATCGATGACGATGCATAAGGATGTCGAGATTGTTCGTCCTAAAGTAAGAAATAGTTCTTTTTTTGTAAATAGTAAAAATCAGCAAGAACACATACACGAGAATGTTCAGTCCGCGGTCGTTTGTAGCTACTGCTATAATTGTCATCAAACCGTGATGGACGTGCTGGCGGACTACGACTTCGTGAACGCTTATTGTTGAAACGACTGGGCCGAGGATTGCCATTGTTCGACATGCTATTGCTATAACCGCCTGCGCCACGATTACCGTTCATACCATTTCTTCGATCGAATCCTAAAGAAGAACAGATGACTCTCTAATTGAAAACATCTCCTGATAGGTGACATACCGCCACGATAACTGCTTCCACTACGATTATTATTGAAGAATTTCGTTCTAGCCATATCGTACAATTTTTCGTTGACATCTTGATTAGAATCTTTCAATAATTGAATTAATTCTTGTGCTTGTTTAGCATTCTCTCGAGTGAAAAAGCTATAGGCAGTGCCCTTGGCACCCGAACGTGCCGTACGTCCAATACGATGGATATAATCTTCTGTTTGAGCTGGGTAATCAAGATTAATGACAATACGTACATCTTCCACATCTGAATAGACAACAAATCGATTATTCAAACGTTCCTTACTCTTCAGTCTTAGCTTCAAATCAGAGAAGAATCTGCGAGCATGACGACATCCAACTTCCATTTGGGTTTTCTCATCAAAAAGAATCCTCGCTTTCCTGTTTTTTCCTTCCGGTTAAAAGTTAATCTTAGGATAAGCATGAGAGAGAAAAAGAAAAGAAAGGAAAAATAAAACATGAAATTATTACCGTGCTCTTAGTCCAAGATGTTCAACGACCGCCAATACTGTCATATGTGTACGCATTGGTATCGAACGAGTATCTTACCAAATCCGTTCGAAGGCAATACGAGAACATAACTGAGCGGCACGCCGAACGTCGATTATGACTTAGCACGAACGTAATCAAATTTGCAAACGTCGTCATGTCACAAGACTTAAGTAGTCATTAAATACGCATAGGTTATTCTCTCTCTGTCTGCATTGCATGGTCAGTCAGCAATGACCTGTGCAGGCACGCCTCTGCCCGAAAGACGCACCTGCAAAAATAGAAAGTCAGACAGATTTGTGTCAATCAAATTAACTTGTTCAAATGAAATCACGTATAAAGATAAGACATACCTAGACCACGAGCAGCAACGTCAGTTGCAATGAGAATAACACGAGGTCGATTGCGAAATTCTAGAAACACGTTCAAAATGGAAGAAAAAGAGATGAATATGTGAACACGAACCTTGTAAAACTCGGTCGCGCTCTTGTTGACGTTTATCTCCGTGAATTGGAAAAGCAGGATATCCAAGACGTTTGATAGTAAAATAGAAATCATCCACGCGCTTCTTCGTTTGAGCGAAGATAATCACCTTGCAGTCTTGGTCTCGCATAACGGCTGCTAAAACTTTTGCTAACCTATTCAACAAAGAAATACACATTTTATCAATCTGTTTTCTTCTTGTTCAGAATAGGTTCTACTTGGAGTCTTTTTCATGCTCTTCGCAAACATCAACTATTTGATGAATGTTCTGGTTAGCATTCAGAATAGCTTTGCCCAATGTTATATGTGTGCAATTTGTCATGAAGTCTGATGCTAGTTTTTGTACTTCTTTCGGCCATGTTGCACTGAACATCGCAGTCTGACGGTCGGGCTACAATGTCACGAAAAGAAAATTACGAAACTTTCAATAGGATAATCACTCACTCGAATGCATCGAATTATTTTTCGTATTTGGGGTTCAAAACCCATGTCTAACATTCGATCGGCTTCGTCCAAGACAAGAAATGTCACACGATCAAGATTAATTGTCTTTTCTCGGACAAAATCTAATAAACGACCTGGTGTGGCGATACACACTTCAATACCATAACGTATGTCGCGTTTCTGTGGTGGCTTCGGTGCACCACCGTAAATGCAGACACTTCGGGAATTGGTCGCTCCGCAAAAATCGACGCCAACAGCTTGTATCTGCTGGGCTAATTCACGTGTCGGTGCCAGAATAAGTACCAATGGATCACCTGATCGGGTATTCGATTGACCAGCAGCATGAATCAAAGCTGGTAACATGAACTAGAAGTAAAGAATTCGCAAAATGATTTCGCAAAACAGAAATAACTTCACGTACCGATAAAGTTTTTCCGGAACCTGTCTGAGCGATGCCAACAAGATCGCTTCCACTTAATAAGATTGGCCAAGCTTGAGATTGAATAGGTGTAGGTCGGACATAACCAAGTTGACGAATGACATTTTGTATCGAACCTAAACGTTACATGATTATGACGAAATTACATGAAATGAATCTTACTAGGAAATTGAACTTCATCAAATGAAAGTATCGGCTTGGGTGCAAATCCGCGTATAGTCATTTCATTTTGTGCATAAAATTGATCGTTAACATGCTATGACAGAACAAAGGAAATGAGTTATATCGATATAAAAAGGAATATCTACATACTTGTGGACGATTGGAGATCAGAGATGATTCCGAGTAGAAATTCTTTATGACTGGTGGACCGGGGCGTAGTGGTGCAACTGTAAACGAGTCCAGATCATCTAGTAAACTATTTCCACCATGTCGATCACGGTCATTGCTTCGATAATTTCCTCCATGTGAACCTTAATCAACAACTTTGAAAAAAATATGATAACGAGTCCAGATCTTACTTCTCGGTGGTCCGTAACTGCTTCCTCCACGGCCGTGATAACTCATTTTATCTAAAATGAATGCGGGTGATATAGAATTATCTGTCCTTGAACAATGACGAAATTTGTGTGTGGGATGGATATTTATTTATTTCGAAAGAAACCATTGGACCTGTCTATTGATATTATTTATGAGGGATATTTTTTTATTCTAAAATATTTCCAATAAATCTTTTCAGATTGACATTATTTTTGTGCAAAAAAGATTTTCTCATTTTATTTTTCCTCCAAATTTGTTTGCAGCGTCGCCACATGTTCATAACTAGTGGCGCTACATGAGCGCATTTGTCCTTTTATTTCACAACTACAAATGGAATTCCCTCAGCTAGGCCAACACTGCTCAGCTAAAGGATGTAATAAACTCGGTGAGGCTTTCTAATTTTCAAACTTGTTTTCTCATTCAATCTTCTTTAGACTTTCTGCCGATGAAATGTGACGCATGCAGTGCTATTTTATGGTAGAATCTCTTCATCATTTTATCCTTCATTGTCTATCAATCTTCTTCATTTCTTAGTAAAGATCATATAAAATATGATGAACATCAATGTTCGTCGTCATATCGTAAAAATGTTCAAATACCCGTCTGTCCACTCTGCAATCAACATGTTCCATACGAATATCGGGATCAATCGCCAGATCGTGCTGTTTCTGCTCATATAGATCGTGATTGTCGATCACGTAAACGTGAAAAAGTCTATGCAAACAAATGTTCTGTCGCATCATGTAAACAACGTGAAGCTATTCCAGTTAATTGTGAGAAATGCTCAAAAACATTCTGTTTGCGACATCGATTTCCCGACGATCATAGATGTCAAGACTTCCAGCACCAATCACCAGCGAAACAGAAGTATTTACCATAAATTTCATTGCAAAAATGAGTTCGTATTGTTTAGGAAACAAGAAGAAGATGATTATGCGCTCGCTAAAGCATTGCAAGAAAGTGAACGACAAGAATTGCAGAGAATTCGTCGAAATGTAAGTGTAACATTGCCTAACGGGATCGATTTATGTGGATTTTTACTTTCTTGTAGCAAACGACTTCGACGGCAGCAACAGCGAATACTAGCACATCTTCGACAGATAATAGAAGTTGTTGTGTTCAATAACAGTTTTCTTTTTGTGTTTATACGAATTTCTTTCATGTGGGCTTTTTATGAATTTCTTCTTGAATCTCAGTAATTTCAGATAGAACTATGGACTTTGGTGAACCATCACCGGATATTATCGCACGATTATACAAAGAGATTAAAGAGAAAAAGGTTTTGAGAAGAAAACTAGTTTTGCTGAAGGGAATGATTGAATATTTTTAGATTCTTGAACTCGATTGGAAAAATCCTGGCAAGAAGAATCGAATCAAGAAGCAGAAAGTCAACACGCATATCAGTTCAGTCAAGTCAGATGAATCGTCGAATTCGAAGAATGAAGATAACAAGTATGAGTGACAGATGTTTTTTCTGCTAAGCATTGTTTTCAAACTTAGATTAGTGAATGAAATCGATGAATTTGATCATGATGATGCTTTAAAGTCGAATAACATTACCGTCTCCTCATTTCGTTCTGCTGGTTTGTAATTCTCATATAAGTAACTTTTGAAAAGCATTCTTCTGTTTAGTTGGTAAACCAAAACCCAATGAAAAACGGCTGATCGATATGAATACAGTCATTGCCAATATCGAACGACAGCAACAAGAAGACGAGCGACTTCGGTGAGAAGAAAAACGAGAGAGAGAAACTGTTTCTATTCGACAATATGTTTGTTTATTTTCAGACAGGTTATGGATACATCATCGGACGATAAAGCTTGAATTATTCACAAATGTTATGTATAAATTGTACATCATTGCTGTTCTTTTGTTAATTTCAAATATCTCGAATAAAAATGTTCACATTTAAGATTCTTTCAGCCATTTATGAATGGACGCAAGTTGTTTCAATTCATCCATACTGACACGATAATCATCGGATATCACATCATATTCCCAAAGCCTAGCAGCAGATGTTCGGCCGTGTGCGCAGATAAATGGCATTGAACAAGATTTCAGTTCGTCGAGAAGATGTTGACATTCACTTGGCGATAAAACATCGTTGAATTTGATGGCATTGTGACAAGCTAGAGATTTCAGAGTATCGTACATGATCAGTTTCGATTGATTGATTGTGCTTAGAAGGATGTTGGTGATAGTGTCGTAGATCAGATCATTGAGTAGAGATGTTCTGGTCTGACGTTGACCAAGCGAAGGAAGCCAACCAGGGACGGCTCGAACAAGGAGATTATGAGTAGAAACAGATGAAAAGATAAAACCGGTACGTTCAAGTAGAGAGATTTGATCGGATGTGTAGAGAAACCGTGGATTACGAGGAATGCTAGCTGGTTCGGAGAGATAGAATGGAACTGATTGAATATTCTCTTGGTGAAAATGGTTTTGAAGTCGTTCAAGAAGAATACGTTCGGAAATGGCGTGTTGATCGAATAGAATTAGCTGAATGCGTTTGGTGTTCGTTGAATCGTGACTGACATTCTTTGCAATGATGAATTTACGATCGAATTGACCAAGAAAACAAGCCTGATGAAGAGTTTCCATACTCATCGATTTCTCTGATAAGATTTCTCGAACATGCAATGCTGGCGGATAGATTCGTGTGGGTAAATTGCTATTGACAACTGGAGATTGAATATCAGGTGGTTGCTGCAAGTTTTTCTCTGTGATTTGAAATGTCTGACGAACATTCAACGACAGACAAGGCTTAGAACGTTGCGATTTCGACCAATAACGTCGTTTTGATTGCAAAAGCGTCTGTTTATAAAAATCAGTACGAGACTGTTCAAGACTTAATCGTTGTCGTTTGTGATACAATGTTTCCTGATGTTCATTGGCTTTGTTGAACATAATCCGCGCTGCATGATATCGTTCCAGAATAGGATTCTTCTCTGTCGACATACTATCCGTTGTTAATGTTTGATTTCAAAATTCAAATCTCGCTGAACGTTATAGAATAGAACGAGAGGATCATCGTACATCAGCGCCAAGTATAACTATTTTATTTATCACTTCTGTTTTCTCTTGAATACACGCACACGCACACGCAGATGAGTGAAAATGAGATTACTTGTTAAATATCAAACAAATCTAAGCGAGAGAAAAGTGGATTCACAGGAAAGATGCTACAATTTGGAAGAGAAGGTCAACTAAAATCGGATCTGTTCTTGTTAGACAAGAAAAATAGAAATTTATGTATGTCGAAACATGCCCAGATCGCGATCAGCTGCTTGGATTTCGTCAAGTTTTTTACTGAATATTTTTAGAAGTTTGCCAGCGAATTCTTCTTGTGAAACGAGTAATTTCGAGACTTTCTGGCGAATCTTATCGCTTTTATCAGCTTGATCATCTTTCGTTTGACCCTAAACGTTCCGTATAAATACTTTCACAAGGCAAAAAAGACGGATCTTACATGAAAACTATCTTCGGTTGTCGACATGATATCATCCAGATCATCCTGAGTGAGATTTAGAATTTTACTTGCGGTATGTAGAGCTGTGTCATAACCAGGTAATGTTAACGACAGTGATTCACGGTGTTTTTGGTGCTCGCGTGCTCGTTTAATCGAATCCTTCATCTCAGAACTGCGTCGAATCATTTCGTGTAGAAGACCCTAGAAAAAGATCGATATGTTTTCTAGAAAGTATGAAAAGAAGTTTTTCTTTCTGTGTATTACAATGGTGAATCTTTCATGTTCATTTAAAGATCGTCGTGTTCGATCTAATTCAACCGATAGCTTATTTAATGTCTCTTGATTCTTGTTGTCTAATGTAATCATTTGCTGTTCAGATAAACGACGAGATGTAAGAAGTTCTTGATTCAAATGTTCGTGATTCAAACGGTATTGTCGAAGTTGTTGTTCGTTCAAACGATGTTTTGTATGAAGATCGTCATATTTGCTTTTCTATAGAGATAGAATACACAAAATTCAGAAAAAAATCGAGTCAGATGCACGTACGAGACTTTGATGGTCATCGAGAAGTTGTGCATAACGTGCTTCTGCTAATTGTTTATCTCGAGTGATAGCTTGTAAACGATTTTTATACGACTCAAGCTAAACAAAGAAGATGAGATACTGAGAAGATAACAACAAGGAATTTGCTTACGGAAACTTTCAATTTTTCCATCGCTTCTGTTAAAGATTTCACTCGTTCTTCATCATTCTATTCAAACAAACATATTTTGTGAACAATTGAAGAACAGGAGAGACATACTTCATGTGGATTTCTCTCCTGCGCAGTTTTAACTGTATTTTCCATGTCAGATAAGCGCGATTTGTAGCTTTCAATTAATGTTCGTTTACTTGCAATGTCACGTTCTGTATGTGTCAACCTAATAATCAAATATTCATGAGCTAATGTCAAAATTTCTTTCCGTTTACTTTTCCGTCAATGATTGTAGATTTTTCGTTAAGGTTTCGTTATCTTCTTGCAAAGTTTTGTTTTGTTTTCGTTGCCGTGCCGCATCGAACGATGTATTTTTTAAACGATTATATAAATTATCGATAGATTCACTGTTGTCCGTACTACTCGAATCGAGACGTTGATGTCCACGTGTCGGCAACATCGGCTGAAAAGTATGTTCATTTTTCAGACGGTCGCATTCGTTTGTTAATCGCTATGACATACATTCAATGAGAAAATTGTGAGAGATGGATTACTATACCTGATTGGTATTTTTCAGCATATTAACTCGATTGTTAGCGGTTAATAAACGTTGATTAAGTAGTTCGTTCTCTTCTTTAGCATCGAGCAAATTCATCTGGAGTTGTTCCACACGTTTACGCATTGTCGTCATCTAAACGACATGTACGTTAGTATGAGTTCTATTAGAGCAGAATCCGTATACTCGTGTAAGAGATTTTGGTGCTGTTGGCTTTCGCGTAAGTTGTGTATATGGATCTCGACGAAATGAAGTGGACAGACGGGCGTTCTTTTTCGATGAACCGTCTGAATTATAAAACGAATTTATGTAGAAATAAGAAATAAAGACCATTGAAAATACGAACATGTTTTATTGGATATAGATGGTCGTTTTTTGCGTTTCATGAGAGAAGACTCGGTATGATAATTACAGAGACTGCAAGCATGACATCGAGGTCGTCGCCAAGTTTTGGGTGATGAGACTCGATAGAGTGTTGGCGCTTCTTCGGGAAAATGCACTGGAGCACCTCGTGGGCTTGGATTTTGATCCAATAACATTTCTAAACAAGATGTGCTGGCTCTCTTTTTTACAGCTCGTTTCTTTTTGATTAACGACGGTGCGATGGTATTCTTCTTTGTTGAGAGTTGGTTATTTCGTTTCAATTTATAGATTTGATCCTGCAATGCGAGAGTTCGAAGTTTCAGTTTCTTCATTTCTCCTCCTGTTTGCGTTCGTTGTTGAAGAAGATGTTGTTTTTCGTCAATACAAAGATCGAGATTGGTCTTCAATCGTTCCTGTTCGAAAAGTAGGCATGTTCGTTCGGTTTCGAGATCATATAACTTTTTATCAAGCTCTTCGATCAAACGTTGTTGATCATCATTTGATGTGAGTACGGTTGGAGAAGGTGGTTTTATCCGAAGTTGATCATCTTTGTCATTGAGCAATTGAATTTCGTTGCGAAGTTCCCCAATGACGATCGTTTGCTCATTGATTTCGATTTCTTGTAAATCGATCTTCTCTTGTAAACTGACACTAAGAAATGAAACCGATTATGCAGGAAAGTACGAACGATTGTCTTACTTTTCATTTACTAATCGAGCATTCTCTCGTCTTAGCTTGGTTACTTCGTTCCAAACATTGTCATCGTCTTCATGTTTGAGTACTTTTCGATTTGCACCCGTTTGTCTTCGTCGTCGTTGTTCATTGCACACAGAACAACCGATTTTATTCTTTCGTATCGCTCTGCCGTAAAAGTAATCATTAATGCAATTTTTTTGTAATGCTTCGTCATCTGTATAAGATTGTAATTCATCTTTCACAGATCGATACTGTTTCTGTAAATGCTTTAGACGTAACCAGCGTTTATCATGAACTTTTTTCAAAGTCGCGATTTGATCATCACGTTTGACAAGTAGTTGTTGAAC